AACTTGTGCCAGGTGAGGGCATTAAACAAAAGGTGCGACGTGCACAAAGACGTAGCAAAAATTAACTTGGCCCTTAAATTGATTTGCTTCCTGGGAAAAGCAGTGTGTCTCAGTGCCCCTAGGGGGCGTCGCTGCTGATGACAACGATGCGCCAGCTCAGGTCCCATAGAAATTTGATGGTCCTGGTAACTTCCCAAGTGTTTGTAAGTTCTAGTGAGGCACCGGGAGACACCTAAGGAGGGGACGAGAAGACCAGTGGCAGCCAAGGCTGCGCACTCCCCTCGTGCCTTCCTGGAACCTGTGCCACTGAAGAAGGCCATGAGCTCCGTCTTGCCCGCCTTCCAGTTCATGGTGAACCCCCTAGACTTGGTTTCCTCGTGCATGATCGTGACGAGGGCGATGGCCGCCTCCTTCCAGAGCCTAGCGTCTAACAGCTCGATGCCGTTGACGAGGTCATCCATGAAGGCAGGATCCCATACGTCTTCTTCTACATGCTCGTGTTCGCGGCCTCTGAAAATCCTCTGAGACGGGACCGCATCCTTAGTCCTCTGAAGATACCCCAGGGAGGCTAATCTACTGTTGACCGCGATGATGATTGGGTCGAAGGCTATGATGAACAGGAGGTCTGCTAGCGGCATGCCTGGCCTCGTACCTAGGCGGGGGGAGACGACCCTGGTACTCCCCCGCACTTGGAACCAGTTGCATTCCATCACGTCAACCACTGCTTCCAGAAGGTGCTTACTTCTCAGCCCGTCTAGGGCCCCAGGCTTGGCGACTAGGGCATGGCACAGGGGCTCCAGACAACTAGGTATCTCCAAGCCCGCCAGCGTGTTCTGGATGTCCTCACTGCTCTGGGCCATTCTGGCAACGAACCCTCGGATGACCGAGTAGAATGCCGCCTTTAGATCGGTGTACAGCGACAAGTAAGTGCGCTTCCTAGCCTTGGCAGCCAACATGGCCGACCGAAGATGCAAGGATGCAATGTCAGTGCCGCGCTGAGGGAGAGCTCCCTGCTGGACCACCGACAGCATGTTCATCGTTGCCTCTAGAAGTTTACTCCTGAGGAAGGCATGGTGCAACTTCGCCGTGTGGCATCCCAGCAGGATGCCTCTGTAGTGCTCCAGGGGTTCGGGGGACCCAGATTTGTGCAGATCACATTGCCAACCTCCTTTGAACAGCAGGGGCTCCCTGGACGCCATGTCAACTTTCACGAACAACGGCAGCAATATCTGCGTGCATTCTTGCGGAGCGACCTGGAAAAGATCATTGCTTAGCCCGTCAGGCCCAGCACCTCTCCTCTTGGCTGCCTTCATGATGTCGCGCTTGAGCCTGCGGAAGGGGGTGATCATGTCCAACTCCCTGGGATATACATTTCCACGCTCAGGGAGGGCGTTGTATCTCTCAACCAGTTCTTCCCAGCTGAGTGCCTGCCCATTCTCAATTACATTGAAATAATCAGTGAGGGCCTCCGAGAGATCTCCAGATGTGGCAAGAACCTCGCCCTGAGAACCTCGTCGGATTCTAAGCCCGTCGACTTGGAACTTGGAGCGCTTTCCCCCAAACCTTTGCAGCTGGTATAGCACTCTCCACTCCACTCTACTCTCGTTTGAGGACCTAGCGTTGCACAACTGCTGCGCGAGGTCATCTAGCAGTTCATTGCGCGAGAGCTTCAAGGCCCTTCTCAGGGCCGGCTTCGACTTGACCAGAAACTCAAGCATGTGTGCGGCTAGCTCGCTTGCCGCCAAGATCTGCTTATCCCACTCAGCGAAAGCCTGGAAAAGCTCAGAGACCAGGAGGTCCAGCTCGAGATCGGTGATGTTCTGGGGGGCCCCCGCCTCCAGCGCCGCGGCGACCAGCCTCCTGAGCCCACTGGAGTCCTGCTTACCCCAGAGACGCCACGCCTGCCGTACTTGCCTTCTGAAGATGATAATGCCCAGAAGAGCCTCTGAAACATATGGCCTGATCGGAGTACGTGCGGGTTTAGGGAAGCAAGCTTGTGCACCCACGAACATGCATTGAATGATGTCGTGCAAGTGCTGATTCATGTCGACCTGGTGAGGCACCGTGGGAAACGCTGCCAGGTGCATCCTGAAGGCTGCTGCCTTATCAGGGTCCTGGGTGCCCCTAGCGTCGTAGCCGCTCTGTTGTTGCGCTGCTTTGGTGGAGCCCTGGGACTCGAAGCGCATGAAGACAGGATAATGATCCTTGCCAGTGCAAAAGGAATCAATATCATATCGTACTTGATGTTGCCCCAATGCGGGAATCATGTCCTGCTCAACCGCAATGTAGTCTATTCTGTGTGGTGTTTCAGACTTCGTCGAGACGAACGTGTGCGAGTTCTTGCTGAGAGAGGGGACTAGCGCGTTAGCCGCAGCTAAGCCCGTCTCCAAGAGCATGTCATGAAGCAGCCCGCCCGATTCGTCCTCATCTTGCCTGAATCCTTCGCTGCCCACTGCCTCAGACACAATGCTGCCGAGCCTGGCATTCGCGTCCAGGAAGG